CGCTCGCCCTCCTACGTCCTAACTATCTTAGAAGCGATCGTGTTTGGTTATTGTTTCGAAATTCGCAAATGCCCTTTTTACACCTACACCGTAAGAGCACGCTTCGCTGGTAGCACCTGCTAACCACTAAAGGAGCACGCGAGCGAAGCGAGCGCCCTTTTTGCACCTGTATCATAAGAGCACGAATCGCTCGTTCTACCCACTTTCTAACTACTAAAAAGCAAGCGAGCGAAGCGAGCGCGCCCGGCCGACGTTTCGAAATTCGCAGCGAATTTCGAAACGTCGGCCGGGCGCGCCTTTTTTGCACCTGTACCATAAGAGCACGAATCGTTCGTCCTACCCACTTCTTAACTACCACAGAAGCAAGCGAGCGAAGCGAGCGCGCCCGGCCGACGTTTCGAAATTCGCGCGAATTTCGAAACGTCGGCCGGGCGCGCCCTTTTTACACCTGTACCATAAGAGCACGAATCGTTCGTCCTACCCACTTCTTAACTACCACAGAAACAAGCGAAACTTTATAACATTGGCTATTATTTCGCGAGATTGATTGTTAATCACGCGGCCTCTTAATTTGCTATTAAACTCCATACTTAGGTTCTATTAAACTGTAATGAGCAAAAAACACAAACGAAAATAAAAGAAATGTTTTAGCGAAATTTACATCTGACATTTACGTCTGAATGAAATAGTGAAATACTTGATGCGCAGAGTGTACTTTTATTGCGTAAATCCGTCGGGATGCCTGTCAGTAGTGCTTTCTCTGTCTATCCGTCGAAAGCCTCTAGAAATTTGATGAACATGTATGGATATTTGACCCACATTAAAAATTTGAACGTCGGGACTAAGGCAAAAGAAAATAACGTTGTAATATTATGCTTGCCTCCACATACAACACATAAGTTGCAACGGTTGGTTGTAGGGGTAATGTATCCATTAAGCACGTACATGGATCAGTCATTGGAAAAATGGATGACCAATAACGTTCCAGATAAGCAAAATCTTTTCAGAAGCCTACCTGAAAGCGTATGTACCGAATAATGCAATAAATGCTTTTAAAAAACTGCTATTATGCCCTTTGATCCTGACACGTTTTCTAACGCTGATTTCGCAGCAGCAGAAGTTACAAAAGAGATCCACGAAGCTGCTCAAAATAATCAAGAAAACCTAGAGAATAATGAAGAAACCTTTGCAACCAACCCACTTCTACGTAGTTCTCCAATTCCTGGGTCAAGTACACGACCGGATAACCCTCCAGTAATTACAAATCAGGTATCAGACCAATCTGAAGTCAAAGTAGAAAGTTCCTTTACCGTAACACCTGCTGATTGCAATCCTCTTCCAATAATTAAGGAAAAGAGAGCAGCTCACAAACGAAAGTCTGTTGGTACCGTTATGCTTACGAGTACCCCATACAAAATCATGCTTGAAGAGAAGAATAGGAAAAAAATTTAACTAGAGGCTAAGAAAAAAAAAACAAGTCAAAATCAGAAAGCACGAAAAAAGTTAAATTAAACAAGAAGGCAAAAAAGTAGTAGAGGAAAGTGATGACTCAAACAGTAACAGCGGATCAGAATCAGAAGAGTGCATATTTTGCTGTAAAAAATACGCTGCTTCTTTGACTGGCGAATGATGGATCGGGTGTATTAAATGCCTAAAATGGGTTCATGATCAGTGTGCCGGGGTCGATGAGAATAATTGCGATTTTGAGTGTGATTTAGGTTTGCATCAAACCCAAATCTATCAAATAAAAAAAATATTAAGTTTTAGAATAGTTAAGGTATTAAAAGTTTCTTAAGTTAATTTTGTTAAATAATGTTGAGCAAGTTTCCGTTTACTCCCTTAAAGGTATTTTTTTTTGTATCATCGGCATCAACTGCTAAGGTCATTAGCCTCGTGTTCTGTGTAGGCTTTGTCACTGTTTCGCAGCGTCACTTTAGGAACAGCACTGTTAATTAGAACCCAACAGTGAATGGTCGAGTGGGGAATCCTACCAAGGCATCAGAATTGAATTTAAAAAATCCCCCACATTTTGCCCCATGTGGGAGATCGTTTTACCTCTAGCATTTGGATAAAATGATCCTTTTGCAGATATTAACAAACATCATTGTCATTCCAAAATGTGAAGAAAATCAACTGGAAACTCGAAAGTAATAACAGAGCCAGTAACATTTAAGAGAGGAGTTTTTCAGGGTGATTCACTCAGATAAAATATTCATAGAATTCGAAAATGTATTATTGTAGTATACACGTTGAGATCTGTTGCTTGAATATGATTTCATCATCGCAACTGCTGCATAATGAAAACTGTAATATTTAAATTTTTATAGCATCAACCTGTGATCGATTCTGTCTGGTGAGCACTCAGCAAGGTAATATGAACGACTACAATACAGGGTGTCTGTAAAAGGTCTTTACAAAAACATACCACATATTCCTTAGACCAAAATAAGTCGATTTAAGTAAAATTACCTTAGTACAAAGTTGCTTCGTTTGGGCTCCAGAGGGCCTTGAAATTACAATTTTTAAATCATTTTTCCCATATAAATTTAAAACGGCATATATGCGATTTTGCTGAAATTTGGTATATTGGTAGAGTTTTATGTGGCAAAAAAATGGTATTAAAATTTTGTCCGATAATAATACATAGGCGTAGAACTTGATTTTTTAAATAATTGCACCTTTAAAAATTCTACGCCAATGGAAGAAAAGGAGTTTGAGTATGAAATTTAGATTGCACAACTCATTTACTTTAAAAAAAGGTACTCTTGATAAGACTTGATTACTCTCATGGTTTTCGCTAAATTCCTGTTTTAATAATTTAGAGTGTATAGATTTCACAAAAATATTTATTTACAACATAATCAAAATAGAGATTTTACAAAAATTGTTCAAAATGTTTACCATTTTTACGCATACAAAGATTTATACGTCGAAGAAAATTAAAATGTATCCTTTCCATAACTTCTTCATCACCTCTAAGATTGTTTATTGCATCTTGAATACGTTGCCAGAGTTGTTCCTCATTTTCTACTGGTTCCCTGTAAACTGTGGATTTCAGATGTCCCCATAAAAAGTAATCCATCGGTGTTAGGTCTGGGGAACGTGGTGGCCAGTTTACAGGTGCGTCATTACCTCTGCCTATCCATTTGTGTGGATATTGTTCATTCAAGTGGTTTCTAACGTTTAAAGAAAAATGTGGTGGAGCTCCATCTTGCATAAACCACATATCTCTCCGAAGTTGGAGAGGTAAATCTTCTAACAATTCTAGCAACGTATTTTGTAGAAAATCCAAATAATTTTCTCTAGTTAATCTTCGTGGAAGTATGACAGGACCAACAATGAAATTACCAGTTATTCCAGCCCACATATTAATTTTGAATTCGTGCTGAAAATGGTTTACCTTTATTGCATGCGGATTTTCAACAGCATAAACATGTTTATTATGGGTATTAGTTATACCTCTTCTTGTAAAACCCGCTTCATCGGTAAAGAGAACCTTCTTGACAAAGTTTGGATCTCTTTTTCTTTGCATATTAACAAATCGAAAAAACCCAAACGAATTTGAGAATCATGGACTAATAATTCTTGTACTGGCTTCATATGGTATGGATATAGCAATTGTTCTCCAAGCACTTTATGAACGACATCTTTACTTACTCCTAGTTCCCTTCCAATTCGTCTGGTGCTTAATTCTGGATCTTCTTCAACACGTTCTAAAATGTCTTCTTCAACTTCAGGAATCCTTACAAAACGTTCTCTTCCATTATCAACAGTGTTGGGAGCAAAGGAACCGGTCTCCCGAAGACGTCTTTCAACAGCAGGAAAAGTTGGGTGGCTAGGTACACGACGATTTGGAAACCTTTCAGAGTACACCCTGACACACTCTCGAGCATTTCCTTCACAAAATCCTAATGTCAGTAACATATCGGTATATTCTGCATTGGTATATCGTACAGCCATATTAATAAACCACGCATTTGTTTTTTTAATTATTGAGTCAGATAGAACACTTTCAATCGTTAATAAGAGATTAGGTGTTAAAACTTGACAATATTTTTATTTAGATGAAACTATGGAAACCAACAATAAATGTTTTTGTATACGTATTGCAGGCAAATAATTAATATTCCTCAAAAAATCGTACATGGCAAGAATCGAGTATGTTTGTTAAAAGTCTCGATTAGAGGTGTTGAAGAAGATATGAAAAAAGTACATTTTTATGTTTTTCATCGTATAAAATTTTGTCCGATAATAATACATAGGCGTAGAACTTGATTTTTTAAATAATTGCACCTTTAAAAATTCTACGCCAATGGTAGAAAAGGGGTTTGAGTATGAAATTTGGATTGAGTACTCATTTACTACAAAAAATTACCCTTGATAACACTTGATTTACTCTCATGGTTTTGACAAAGTTTGTATTTTAATAATTATTGTTTATGTTCTAAAATTACTAAAATGCAAATTTCGTCAAAACCATGAGAGTAATCGAGTCTTATTAAGAGTACCTTTTTTAAAGTAAATGTGTTGCGCAATCTAAATTTCATACCTAAACTCCTTTTCTTCCATTGGCGTAGAATTTTTAAAGGTGCAATTATTTAAAAAATCAAGTTCTACGCCTATGTATTATTATCGGACAAAATTTTAATACCATTTTTTTTGCCACATTAAACTCTACCAATATACCAAATTTCAGCAAATCGTATATGCCGTTTTAAATTTATATGGGAAAAATGATTTAAAAATTGTAAATTCAAGGCCCTCTGGAGCCCAAACGAAGCAACTTTGTACTAAGGTAATTTTACTTAAATCGACTTATTTTGGTCTAAGGAATATGTGGTATGTTTTTGTAAAGACCTTTTACAGACACCGGCTTTTCGTCGTCTTGTTTATATATGAATAAATAGTCAATACAAACTATGTATCATTGGTCATGACATGATTAGAAACATAATTAGTCTTTATGAATAACTATTTGGAAAATTGTCATTAATACATACCCTGTATCACTAGGTGCTACGTCCATCTCTACTAATCGCAGCAAGTCTCCATCCTCTTCCGAAATATCTTGGTCTCCTTCTCTTTGTAGGACAGTATTTATAACTGCAGAACTGGACGATACTGCTGCATGTGATTTTATTGAAGAAATTTTCACAAATTTGTCATCAGTATTTTTAACTTTATTTCTATTAACAAACTTCGATTTGAAATCTAACTTATCGTTGATTTCATGGCCATCAACTCTATGGACATACCCCGTAGAATAAATTTTAGTAGGAGGACCAAATCTGTTATTAACATACTCTTCATTTGTATATTTATTATTTTTGTTATTGTTATCGAATTTTTGGTAAAAATAATCTGATATATCTTGTTCGTAAGAACTTTGTACCGGTCTTTTAGTAATGTAAACTTCATTGTATAAAAAATGGTTAGTCATTGGTGTGTAGGGTTTATTTAAACTACTGCTAAATGGTCTGTCTTCGAACTGAACTTCATCGTAATCATTTGAACTAACAGGTCTGTAAATAGGAGTATCGTAAAGTCCTGCAGTAGGTCGATTGAACATTTGAGTAGGTCTGTAGTCATAGTAATTATATTCATTGTTAACATTAGGCCTGTTGGTTATAGCAGTAGGTCTAATAGTTGTTGGTTTAGCTAAAGATTGAATAAATATTGGGTAAGTTACAGGGTTTTCCACTTGGTAACTTACAGTAGGTCTACTGGTAGATAATTTTTGTTTATTTTTGATAACTGGCGCAGTTGGTGCTTGAGTAAATCTTGAAGGGAAATATTGTATTTTAATGTTAACTTCTAAAGGGCTATAAGTACTTTTCTTTACTTTATCTCCATCCTTATCCTTAATAATTATGTTATTTGTATTACTTACAACAAAATCAGGTTTTTTCTTTCGTCTATATTTGAGTTTTGTTTGTCTTTTGTTATTACTAGGAGTATCATCAAATAAATCAATAAAAGACCTCTTTTCAACATCGTTTGGGTTAGATTCAATCCAAGGTATTAAATCTATGTTTTTTAATAGATTTTCAGTACAAAAATGCCTGCTATTCTTTTCTTCGTTTGATATTAGGAATACAAATGGTTGTATTGTTTCGATTTCGTCCATAGTGTGACACAAAACGGAAGCAAACGTGGTTTTTCTGATTTGCTGAAGTTGAGCAGGAGTAAAAGATGATGGTAGATGTGCATTCTCATACCAAAATCTGCAAGAATTAAACTAGTTTAATACAATGTTTACCAAAGTATTAACAGAATGATGGAAAACACTATAGAATAGAAGTGAAGAGAACTAGAGTAAAATAATGACTAGTTCACCTTGTCAATAGGATTATATGACTTCTAGATTATTATGACGGCTATAATTTCTGAAGAAATGTATAAGATTCATAATATTTACTATGTTACGTACCTATCTCCCTTTCTAAGGTTGCTAAACTGCTGAGCAATGATACAAGCAAAAATCGGTCCCACAACTGCTCCTCTTACAGGTTTTTCTGCTAGTCCACCACTAAATAGATCGATATCGTCCACGTGTCGGTATATTTGTCGGAATCTCCTTACAGTTTCTATATTAAAAATCTTAACAGAAAAAATTTCATAAAGTTAAATTTAAATGAATACCAAAATGAATCTTGCGAATTGAAAGTACAGTTGTTCTTTATTTAAATAGGTACTAAAAATATTTAAGAAGATTCTCATGAAAAGAAACGCCAAAACTTTACAAATATAATTTGAAATTATTTTTTATTCGATTTCAAAAATTGACATTTTTAAAAACATTACATGATAGATTTATTTAGAATTAAAAAGCTTTTGTATTTTCGGAATCAATTCTTTAATAATATGCAACAAAATATGTTAAATGTGTCCAAAAATTACAGAAAGCTTTTATGAAAAACATCTATATCTACAGTCTTTCGATAAACAAAGAAAATTGTCAAAGCAAGAAATTTGTATAAATAGGCATTTTAGTTTAATCCTAGAAGACACAATTTTAAAGATAATACCATAATTTTTTATATGCAAAGAGAATAAGTGGCACTAACTTCGGGTTGCATATTCGCATCAAGCGTGCAGTATCGCAGGCTCGTCTTTTCCAAGTACCGCCGAATGCATCGACGTATCCAGAGCGCGAGAACGCATTATGCTAGATGTATCCAACGTTCGAAATTGCAATTATTAATTTTTGGCATTTGCCATGGTCACTTGTTTTTGTATCGTGCACTAAGATGGAGAATTTTTGTTTGCCGCCAGATTTTCCTTACGTTATAGAAAATGACACACTAAGACTTAAAATAACATAACAATCAGAAGTTGAGGTAAGCTTTTAAATTGCCACGACAAGAATCAATTCGACAAAAAAAATATGCCGAAAAGGAAAAAAGATATCGGTTCATCCAACATCAGTTTCAAGAAGAAAGGTTCATGCATGTGGACGTAGAAAAGTGCAAAGTGGACGAAAAGTTTCTTCTTCAGTTAAAAAGAAGGCGAAAGCACCCCACTCCTGTGCGTAGAGAAAAATATACCTTTAGGAGAAAATAAGTTTTTAAAATAAGCAAATTGTGTATTTTCTTAAAAAAACATTAAAATTACGTTTATACTTATAATAAAACTTTAAGGCGAATGTGTTTTGGATTATATGCCACATAAATTTAAAAATATTACTTAGGGGGCGCATTGTCAATATGTTGCGATATCGAACGCTGAGTACCACGCCAAAAGCCTGAACAATGCGTTCCCGCGCGCTGTATACCTGAACGGATTCGAGGGAACTCGGAAAAGGTGAGCCTGCGATACTGGACGCTTGATACGAATATGCCTCCGGGTTAGCAAACTTTTTGGAAAAAATGGCTTGTTTCGTCAAAAAAAAAAATTATAAAGTTTATTAAATTTTTTAAAAAAAGGGCAACTTTTAATAGAGAATTAACATTATCAAACATGCATTATTCTTTAAACGATTAGGTACTGTTAAGTTGTAGTAAATCATTTCCTTATTCAGATCAAAAAATAATTTTTAAAATTAGACGTAATATAAAGTCATAATTATTAAATCAGCAAAATAAATTCGGATATAAAAATGATTGAAAAATATGACTACAATATCCTTTCTCAAGATGGTACCTAATTTGTGTAGAGTTTTAAGGAGGTCCTTTCGCCACACCTCTCGCCTCCAATGTTAAAAAAAAAGTTATTAGATTATGACTAAAATTAATTTTTTTCTAATAGTTGAAGTCCTTATTTATCTAATACTGAACTTTTAACTATACCTTACCTTGCAAATTTTTGAGAATTTTTTTTTTTTAATGTGAGTATTTGTACAGTGCCTCACGAGAAAGTAAGTCCTCAACAACAATTCTCGAATTATACTATTATTTATTGATTAGATGGAGTAGAAAAAAACTAAAAATAAGGTTTTTGAAATATTTAGGTTTTGTTTTTTACAATAAAATATATAGGTTACCGTGGAATTTATTGAGAAATTAATATTAAAAAAAAATTTCAAGTAACCTAGTTGAAAATTTTTTGTGATTTTTTAATATTAATTTCTCAATAAATTCCACGGTAACCTATATATTTTATTGTAAAAAACAAAACCTAAATATTTTAAAAACCTTATTTTTAGTTTTTTTCTACTCCATCTAATCAATAAATAACAGTAAACTTAATTATAATTCGAAAATTGTTGTTGAAGTCTTACTTTCTCGTAAGACACTGTACAAATACTCACATTAAAAAAAAAAATTCTCAAAAATTTGCACGGTAAGGTATAGTTAAAAGTTCACTATTAGATAAATAAGGACTTCAACTATTAGAAAAAAATTAATTTTAGTCATCATCTAATATTTTTTATTTAACATTGGTGGCGAAAGGACCTCCTTAAAAGTACAGAGTAAAATATTTGATTTTAATTTTGTAAATACTGATTTATAATAATGTAGTCGCCATTATAAAAATTTATTGTAAGAACATCTTGATGGTGCCATTAAATATTATTACAATATTTCATTTTTTGGTCCATGTACTATTTAAATGTGCAGTAACATTTATTAAAATCCGATATACAAGGTGATATTCTAGCTAAGAAGAGCAATATATAAAAAGAGAGTCCGGTCCTGAAATTTTTTTAAATTAAATTATGGTTTTCATTAACTTAAGAGAGTGTAACTTTTGTACAAAATTTTATCAAAATAACTCTAGCCGTTCAAACAAAATGGCTGATTTTAGTTTTGGCAAAAAGTCATAAAACACCCTATATCTCAAAAACGAGTAAGTTTAAAGGCTAAGTATAGAGGTGTTTTGAACTCAGCTAAGTGTACTCTACTTCCCATTGAGCTGTGTCCGTTTAAATCTGAAACACCCTGTATATTACAAGTTTTCTCTTTTTCACTTCAACGATCTTATAAACAGACCGAGATGATGTATGTGAATTCTTTTCAGGTAAAATCTTAAATTCTTGCAAGGTTATGAGTTTCTGCTTTTAAAATAACTGAATAATATAATAGAACAAACAAATGAAGTTGCGTGATATTTTATGAACCCTGACATCAGAGACAATGACAAACGAGGACAAAAAATGTATTCTGTTGTTCGATGAAATGGCAATTAAGAAAATCATCAAATATAATAAAAAATTAGATGTCATTGAAGGGTTTGAAGACTTCGAGAATAACAAAAGAAAGCCAATTTTTACCGGACAAGCTTCAGTGTATTTTCCCAATGAAAAATTCCAGTAACTTTTTTCTAATCCAAAACGGTGTCGAAACTATTTTTTTTGTGTGTGTCATGGGCTTCAACTACCAGGGTTATTTCGCCTCGTGTTCTGTGTAGGCTTTGTTACTGTTTCCCAGGGCCACTATAGGAACAGCACTGTTAATTAGAACCCAACAGTGAATGGTCGAGTGCGAAATCCTACCAAGGCATCAGAATTAATTTTAAATAATTAAATTAAATGAAAAAATCCCGGCCAACGGTGGGATTCGAACCTGGGACCGAAAACTATTATTATTAAAAGTTTAACACATATTCGAGACTCAGGTTTCGAACCTATAGTGATAGTGTGTAATTTATCTACAATTAACCAAAAAGTCTATAGATCTTTGGGCATTACTGTAGATAACCCTAAATTTGCCATAGTTTTTTTTTTCTGATTAGGTGGGAAACCATTACGAACACTAGACATATGGTTCTCCCCATACATGGTAGTGTGGGACTCCCGGCTAAGGGTGCAAGGCCGGTATACCCACTAAAACCACTTTCTTGCTCTACGAGTAGGTAGCTCTTCCTAGGACCGCTTTGCCATAGTAGAAAACAATTACTTTGCATTTATTATGTGCCTGACCTAGTAAAATGCGTTCAAAATAAGTTTTTACAAGATTATTTTATCTTCAATGGCAAATTTATCAGATTTGCTGTTCTTAAATAGGTTTATGAACTGGACCAACGTAACAAATCTAGAAGAGCTTATTAAAAATCACTTTAAAAAAGTTTTTCCCAAATGCATTTGAAAAAATGAGCGTAAAGCTCGCTACTCAGCTATTTAACCATTCTATAGCTACAACCATTAAAACGGCAACAAAAACTGGAGAATTAGTTTCCATAACGGCTGAAAATACAGCCTATTTTATTGAAACACTGAACAACCTATTTGATGGCTTAAATAGTTCTTCTGCATATAGTTCGAAACGTAAGTTAACGAGACCGGATTTATTCGATGGTTTTCTTCTTACCATAAATGCCGTTAAAGAGTTTTATTCCTATATTATTACTTAAATATGTATTAACAGGAAGACTAATTTAGGATCCGTTAAAAAATCAATTCTCTGTCTATAGGCAGAAAGGGAACTATAATCGAAATCCTACTGTTAGTGGTTTCAAAGCAGCTTTTAAGCTAAATATCGTTCATAATTTCATGAGGGCCTCACTTAAAGCAAATTCGGGAACGAATCAGGACGAAGATCAAAATTTCCTGGGGTCTGGTAATGCTTTAAACGTTTTTAATAGAGCCTCATAATGATTAAGATACAGATAATGAAGAACACAATAAGAGTTCTGAAATCAGTATTTCATTAGAGAAGACGCTTCCTGTAACATTAGAAAAATCTTCCACTATGTACTTTTTCCGGATACTTAATAAAAAAATGCTAGGAGTGTCAAAATTATTTCGAAGAAAAAGAAAACTCATTTTTTATAAAACTTATAAAAACGAGCAATCCGGGCTAAAATGTCTATCTTCACTATTAGGCCAATTTGCTAGAATATTGCTACAAACTGTGACGCAAAAGAATATTTTACAAAAAAAAAATTTTTTAATTTTGCGAAAAATTATAATTGAAAAAATAAAAACATTTTTAGCAGAATGGTGTAATTGTAATAGTAACTGTGTGAAACACAGACAGTATATGTTAGATTTATTAATTACAACTCAAATTTTCAAATAATGTAAAAACCGGTCCAAATTAGAAGCGGCAAAGAAAACGAGGAAACTTCAAGCCAAAAAAAATGTAAATTTGTCTATAGTGCAAAATACATAAATAAATTAATTTCTCATTTTCCTTTTATTTTTAATGTAGGGGAGGGGTGTACTAAATGACATAGTGGGGTATAATGACACATTGCTTGTAATCACACAAATCGTCATTCGGAAGTGCTCGGAAACGAACATACTATCATGGCATGGGCATAGCCTAAAGAATAATATTATTCTTTAGGCTATGGCATGGGTCTCGGACAAGCTAGTCCACATTTAGTACCGCTTCGTCAGTTAGAGAGAGTGTTTGTCGGATTATCTTATTTTTACCATCAAAAAGTTTTTGGCGAGTAATATTAAAATCTGCTATAACTTTTTAGTGTGAAAAACTGGTAAGTTAAAATTTATATGACGAGTTATTGGATTATTGATTTTAGGATTGCACATTTTTGATTTATAAATTATGTTGTTGTTTTGTCAAAAATTGCATTTGTTTATATTAGGTTCATGTGGGGTAAAATGGCATACAGTGTAAAAGGCAAAATGACATACTATGTCATTTTACCCGACAATAAATAGAGAGAAATATCCATTTTTTTAAAGATAATGCCGCGAAGTTACGCAAGAAAGTCTAACAAGCAATCGTGGGATGCTGATTCTATGTTAAAGGCAATAGAAGCCGTTAAAAATGGTGAAATGGGATGGCTCAAGGTATCAAAAAATTACAAAATCCCTCAAGCAACCCTTAGGAGGCATGCCTTGGAAAAAAATAAAATTTTAAGAAAAGGCGAAAAACGACTCGGCAGGTTTAAACCCACATTTCCCATAGAAGTAGAACGGCAGTTGGTAGACCATTTAAAACTGCTAGAATCAAGGTTTTTTGGACTAACAAGACGAGACGTATTAGAGTTAGCCTATAATGTAGCCGTAAAAAATGGATTTGAACATAATTTTAATAACCAGAAAAAGGCCGCTGGAAAGGACTGGCTAAGAGAATTTCACAAAAGAAATCCAGATATAACACTGCGTAAACCCGAAGCCACATCTGCAGCAAGAGCGCAGGCATTTAACAAACCTAAAGTTACTCAGTTTTTTACCGTGTTAGATGAGACCATGCAAAAGGAAAACATTGATATAATGAAGATATATAATGCAGATGATTATCTACCGTACAGCGCCCGTACCGTACAGCGCCCGCAGAAAGTATTTGCTACAGCCGGTCGGAAACAAGTAGGTGCAATTACTAGCGCAGAAAGAGGTTCTCATGTAACAGTTGTTTGCTGCATGTGTACCAATGGGAACTATGTTCCGCCTGCCCTAATTTTTCCGCGAAAAAATATGAAGAAAGAATTAACCGACCATACACCTGCAGGAACTTTATGCATTGCCCAAGAGTCCGGCTGGATGACTGGTCCAGTGTTTTTACAGTGGCTGCAACATTTCCAAAAGAATGCCAAGGCATCTTCCACTGAAAAGGTTTTGTTAATCGTGGATGGGCATTCAAGTCATAAATATCTTGATGCTCTTGTGTATGCCAAAGAAAATGGAATTATGCTCTTGTGTTTGCCGCCTCACTGCACACATCGGATGCAACCACTCGATGTTGCGTTTTTGGGCCATTAAAAACATATTATAACCAAGAAATAAGCAAATGGCTCAAAGCTCATCCTGGTCGAGTTGTGACACAATTTCAAATTGGTGGTCTGTTAAATGAAGCATATGGAAAGGCAGCTACTGTTCTGAACGCTAGTCATGGATTTGCCAAGACAGGCATCTACTCAATAAACCCTGATGTTTTCCCCGACTATGTGTTTCAAGCATCTGAAACTACAAATATTATATTAAATAATAGTATCCAACAAGGCCCGAATGTTCTAACTGATAATAATGCGCTATCTGGCACTTCCGCTACCGCACCAGAACCTCCCCTCGCCATTCCTACAGTGGTTCAGAAAAACTTGCAAAATTCAACAAGTAGTGGTTCAATTTTGGTTTCACCAGCTGATTTAAGTCCAGTTCCGATCGGACCACTTGTTTCAGGCCAGGGAAAACGAAAGCCAAGGAAACGTCAAGGTACTTCTGTCCTAAACTCTACTCCAAATTTGGAAGAGGCCAAAGAAAAAACAAGCCGAAACTAAAGATCCCAGAAAAGATAAAAAGGGTGGTAACAAGAAAATTGCAGAATTCGAGTCAGAAACAGAAAAAGAACTTTTTTCAAAATTTTCCAAAAAAGGTGAGCTGTGACTATGTTGTTGTTCGTGTAAAAAGTGGGCGCATGTTGACTGTGCCGGGGTGGACAAAAAACAAAAATATTTGTTTGTGAGCTTTGTACCGTCTAAAAGTATATTAAACAGTATTGTGTCATTTTTCCCTCCGGGTGGGGTAAAATGAATTTTTCTTGTTTATTTTTATTTCTTTGACTAAAAGTCCATATTTTATATTTTTAAGTTAAAGTATCTTTTGAAATGTTGCAAAAGGGTTGCTATATGTGTTTTTCAAGATTTGTTAAAAAAAAGCTATTTTTTAATTACATTTTTATAGTGCTATAAAACGTGTGTCATTATGTACACCCTTCCCCTACCTACTTATTATACCTAACAAAATGATTAATAATAATACATTTATTACTTAATAATAAATCACCTCAGCACGTGTAGCTATTTTCCCCAAGAAAGCTAATAATTTTTGTAAGAGGCTGGTACTTAGGTTATTTGAAAATTTTGTATTTTATTAATTATATTAATATTATTTTATACTACCAATTTTTTTATCCAAACTACCTACCTACATTCTATTAAAAACTATAAGTATAATAATTTCGTAAATTACAGACCTGGATAACATTCATACGATTTTATTATTTCCATCATATTTATACGAAGATGAATGACACAATTAGCGATTTACCTACATAAAGACAAAAATGTTAAATACCTACCGATGGCTTGAATTTATGCTAAACATGAAATATTCGTAATATGGTAGACCACCAAATTAAAAAACATATAAGCGATTTCTAATAAATCGCAATTATAAAGCTGGTAAACTATTATTCGATAGTTGACAGTTTTGTTAAATAGAGACGATGTACGATCCAAAAAATTCGCAAAATGACAACGTTGTACGGTTGAACAAACAATCCCAACTTCTTTTACCAGCATCTAGGAAACTATTTTCTACTTACGACTTTTTTAATTTGCGCTACTGTCCGCTTGGAACCGCCATGTGACGAGCATAATAAAATCAACCTTTGTCTTCATAAGCGTTGACTTACTAAATATATTTATACAATGATGTTTGTAAGGTTAGAAAATGTTACTTTATATATAAATTAAATAATTATTGCAAGGGAGTAATAGTACCTAATTGATACAATAATATTACTACATATACTTAATTGAAATTTTTACCTTTTCTAGATCATCCCAACTCTTAATGGGTGTCAGTCCACAAGGTTCCCTCCAAGAGGTGTACGAAGGAATTCCATGATCTCTGCCGCGTTGGATATTGATAGCTGTCAAATCCATACCAAAGGGCAAATCGGGAGTTTGAAAAAGATGATTGGAAAGTTCATCGCAGACAAATTCGTCTCTACGTTGAGCAGGTTGATTACAAAAACCTAACAAAGTTCTGTCAACCGATCCAAAGCTCCAGATGTTTTCGAAATTTGTGAATTCGTCGTGTAAGGAAACATCTAAAAATATTAATAATTGAAAGGGTTAATTTTTTCCAGATTTATAGATCAAAAAACCTACTATTAAAAATCGGACGATGCTTTTCATCAGTTCTGACAAACGAATTCTGAACCATGCTATGTCCAAATCTGTAAGCAGCTGTGCTAAAGGCGTTAGCTATTGTTGGGTTGACTTCGGGATTATAACCATTATAAAATCCTTTAGAATTTAATTCTAATTCAAATGAATGCATAACTTCGGGACCTAACAAAATCGGCAAAAACTCTTTGTAAGTTATATGTTGAATTAATGAATATGTGATTTTTCTTGTCTCCTGGTATATCTAAAAAATAATTAATTTAATTATCATAATACGAAGTTATTTTCTACGATAAGTAATGCAATTAAAGGGATCTGGCACTCTTATAAGAAAGTTTCACCGCTAGATGACGCTAACAGCTAAGGCTGAAGTTTACGACTTGGAAAATACGTCAGCGTCAAACGTCAAATGTCACCACATAGGCTTACAATTAATTAATTTAGATTAAGTGTAAGGGTTAAAGAAAAGGTCCTTTATTTCTCACAAGTCAATTTAATTTGCGACCGGTTTCGAAGCTGCCACTTCATCATCAGGCACACCTAAATGGAATGTCAAGGAGTTAGTTGTAATAAAAAAACAATTATAAAAGCATGAACGGACTTTAACATATACAAAATAACAGAAAAAAACACAAAAGAAGTTAAACAATAACCTTGACTCACCTTGACTATTTCCACAAAGGAAGCGCTACATAAAGTTTAACAAAACGAGTTAAAAAAGTCATATGTAATACAATAGTATTTTTTAAAAATATTGTAGGTTAGGTTAAACCGCGAGATGTCTGTTTGAATAAATTAATTAAAACACATGTAAGACTATTATTAACTAAACAACACAAAATAGTTTTTACAAGCACAAACAGTTTAAAATTTTTTTAAGGATATAACGTCAATTAATAAAAGTAAAAAGTAAAAATTATCAGACTCAAGACATCTATCTAGATTTTTTTAACGAATCAATGTAGTAAACTATAAATTTTAAATTTAGTGGATAAATAGTGTACTAACAAAGGTGTTATTTACTGAAAGTGAGTATAGGGAGCGGTGACAGAATTTATTGAAAGTAAAAATATTGAACTGGGAAATGAGAAAGCAAAAAATACTAACAAGAAAATTAGAACACTGAACAAGAAAATATGAAAATTCATATGTAAAAGGGAAATTTGAAGCAGATAATCAAAAGAAAAATTACTGTTACAGGAAACGGAAACTAAGTTGACAAGTACGAATGTCAAAAAAGAAAAGTCAAATTTTGGCGTATGACAACCACGTGGGAAAATTTGAATAAACTAATAAAACATTTAATAAGATGCGAGTGGGCAAAAAATTAATGGAAACAGAGAAGAGAATCTAAATTGGGAGAGTTAATTAATTTGTGGTAAGTAACTGATTGAAGATCAAATGAGTGGGGGTATAAGTCTGAAATTATATTAAATAAACGCAGAGAACGTTGGGGTACTAATAAATTGAATTTGTGCATTCAGAGAGCAGGAGGGGCCAGATTTAATATTTTTTAAAATTTCCAGGTTCTCAAAGTTATTCAGAAGGAATTTATTAGAAGTCATATGCAAAATGTCGAAGCCAATGCTGGAATCAAAATCGTGACCCAGTGTCTAACAAATGAGCAGCAAAGTGAGAAAAACCAGTAGTGTTAGTGTTAAGACAGCGTGTGTGCTCTTTCAGGCGTATTTTAAAATTACGAAAGGTCCTTCCCACATATGAGCATAGACAGTTCAAACAAGTTAGTTTGTAAACACCAGACTGATCCATAGGATCAATCTTATCCTTATTCCTAACAAATAGGCTACTGATGGAGTTGGACGTTCTAAAGCTAATTCTGAAGGAATCTTTGAACAAGTTGGCTATACGATATGAGAATTTTCCAATAAAAGTAAGTAAGTAAGGAAGGACCTTTCGTAATTTTAAAATACGCCTGAAAGAGCACACACGCTGTCTTAACACTAACACTACTGGTTTTTTTCTCACTTTGCTGCTCATTTGTTAGACACTGGTCACGATTTTGATTCTAGCATTGGCTTCGACATTTTGCATATGACTTCTAATAAATTCCTTCTGAATAACTTTGAGAACCTGGAAATTTAAAAAAATATTAAATCTGGCCCCTCCTGCTCTCTGAATGCACAAATTCAATTTATTAGTACCCCAACGTTCTCTACGCTTATTTAAATTAATTTCAGACTTATACCTCCACTCATTTGATCTTCAATCAGTTACTTACCACAAATTAATTAACTCTCCCAATTTAGATTCTCTTCTCTGTTTCCATTAATTTTTTGCCCACTCGCATCTTATTAAATGTTTTATTAGTTTATTCAAATTTTCCCACGTGGTTGTCATACGCCAAAATTTGACTTTTCTTTTTTGACATTCGTACTTGTCAACTTAGTTTCCGTTTCCTGTAACAGTAATTTTTCTTTTGATTATCTGCTTCAAATTTCCCTTTTACATATGAATTTTCATATTTTCTTGTTCAGTGTTCTAATTTTCTTGTTAGTATTTTTTGCTTTCTCATTTCCCAGTTCAATATTTTTACTTTCAATAAATTCTGTCACCGCCCCCTATACTCACTTTCAGTAAATAACACCTTTGTTAGTACACTATTTATCCACTAAATTTAAAATTTATAGTTTACTACATTGATTCGTTAAAAAAATCTAGATAGATGTCTTGAGTCTGATAATTTTTACTTTTTACTTTTATTAATTGACGTTATATCCTTAAAAAAATTTTAAACTGTTTGTGCTTGTAAAAACTATTTTGTGTTGTTTAGTTAATAATAGTCTTACATGTGTTTTAATTAATTTATTCAAACAGACATCTCGCGGTTTAACCTAACCTACAATATTTTTAAAAAATACTATTGTATTACATATGACTTTTTTAACTCGTTTTGTTAAACTTTATGTAGCGCTTCCTTTGTGGAAATAGTCAAGGTGAGTCAAGGTTATTGTTTAACTTCTTTTGTGTTTTTTCTGTTATTTTGTATATGTTAAAGTCCGTTCATGCTTTTATAATTTTTTTTTTATTACAACTGACTCCTTGACATTCCATTTAGGTGTGCCTGATGATGAAGTGGCAGCTTCGAAACCGGTCGCCAATTAAATTGACTTGTGAGAAATAAAGGACCTTTTCTTTAACCCTTACACTTAATCCCTACTACTCACATATGGCTACCCTCACTCCAAATTAATTTAGAACTGTTTTTAATGTCTGAATTATGAGCGTCGGAGCTGTTGTACGTTTTTTTACTAATTTTCATGAAAGAAATAATTGCATTTGTCTTCGTCATTGCCCCACAAGATCGCCTGATATAAATACCATCGATTAATTTCTGTAGCATCCGAAGTAAAACCAGAAAACTGAATTTTAATTTTTTCAAGGTCAGTTACGCATTTCCATTTTATAAATATGTAGTTGTAAAATTTTATCCAAAATTCCTTTATAAAACTAGTAGTTTATCTTTTTTGGTAAAATTTTACACGAATCTCTTCGATATGTCCACCGAATTCTTAACACCTTTTATACCTTTTCGTCGCTCCAATGGATGTTAAATCTGGCAAGTTTACTGGCGACTTGATTGTGAAATCTAATCCAAACCGTATGTAGCGCCGTAAGACCTGGTTGTTCCATAACTCTACCATCACCAGACTGAAAACAATCTGTGGTGAGGGCGCCGGCACTACAGAGCTCCCCTCCTGGTGGATCAGGAGGTAATAACTGACCGTCTTTACGTGGTCTTCCGTAAATAATTTTCCCTAAAAATACATTCATACAAATATTTGTATTTTAAATAATTATAGAGAATGAAAGTTGTAAAGAAAAGTCCTTTCTATCTAACAGAGTCAATTTATTCTCTTTCTGTCATAAAGAAAGGACTTTTCTTTACAATCTTCGTACTCAGTCCAAACCACTCACTCTTAATCCTAATAAATGAATATAGTTCTTACCGTTTCTAAATATTCTTATGGAATCTGCCATTTCTACGTCGCTTCCATATATCATGGAAGCGTCTATAAATGAGGTGACTTGGTTAATCTGCTCTCTCCATCCCAAATCGCAGTTAATTCTTGTGGACGGAGCGCTTCTTATAAATTCCATACAACCTATGCCGAATTTTCCAAAAAAACGATCGTTTTCAGGAACTTCTATAGGCAAGCAGGATGGATGCTAAAAATATCATAAATGTCTATTAAACAATGCGTTCCTATACATTTTTGATGGAAATGATAAATGGATAGAAGCCAGCTCTTGAAAGCAATAAATGATGTGCATAATCAAGGGTAATACCACAAGAAGTGATCATTTTTGAGAACATGAGAACATTTTGTTGTTTCTTTGCACATATAAAGCAGAGACTTCTGTCACTCGTGGCGCTTAAATCTGTATCTGATGTATATAGTGGAGCGAGTAGAAGTCGAAGCTATATCGATGCTTGCTGATAATGGTCTCTCTCAATTATTTGCATGTTCCTATCAAACTTTGTTTAACTCATAAGATACCTATACGTTATGTATTAAAAATTTCGTACCTGTATAGTCTCCTAAAGATTTTTAAATAATAGGTAGTTTTCTTTGAATTTAATGTTATATAATTTATCCTAAAGATTTTCAAATAGATAGTTTTCTTTAAACAAAATGTTATTTATTTCTTATAATGTGTACACCTGATACTATTTTTAAAATAACTACTTGCAATATATCTTTTATTTCAATAAGAATTTTCAAATAAGTAGTAGGTAATTTTTTTTTAAATCTATCATAAAATTTTCTTTTGACGCAAGTGCAAACAAATGGCGTAATGTCGCATACTTTACTACTGGAGAAAATGTTTCTTGGTAATCTATACCGTATTTTTGGGAGCATCCTTTTATGACAAGTCATTTTTTCTATTTAGTTTTATTTTATAAACCTATTTTGTTGTTAATAACTTTTTATCTGATGGCACATCCTTTGCAACAATATAAGTTTTATTTTTCAACAAAGATCCATGTTTTTCGGACATTGCTTTAATCCATTTTTCAGAATCGATACACAATAAAGCTTCTTCGGAGGTTTCTGGCTCAGTTAATTCTTTACTTCGAGAAGTATAGTATGAGATGTAATCATCATATTGTTTCGGTTTTGGTATACGTTTTGAACGTCTCACTCTAGATTCGTTTCCACTACTAGTTCCCTTCGATTCTTCTATGAAATTAATCTCATCTGTTAAATGTCTGTCCTCATTTTCATATATATCTATTTCGCTATCTGTTGTAATTACCTCTTGTATATTTGAGTTTACTATTACCTGATTTTCGTTTTTTACTTCTTCTTCTTTTAATGTATC